CACTTTTTTGAGCAGGAGAAGATGTTCCTGCTTGACTACTACAGCAAGATAAAAGATTCCACTACCAAAGCGGAGAAAATGACCCGTTCACACAAAAGTATTATAGGGTTTTCATAGTACCATATTAAATTGGATTTTTTTTTTTTAGTGGTACAAAACTCTGAACTGAACTTGAATGGGATCTGTGCTCTTGGAATGAATAAACTTGTATGTGGTATTTGTTTAGTTCTGATTTGTAACTTCTGTTACTTCAGATATTGCGGATGATTACATTCACATCTCTGCCACTCTAAACACCATCTGTTCTGATGATAGTACAGCAAGTAAGAAGTGAGTGTATTACTATATATATTTCATTTATTTGCAAAGATGTACTTGCTGTTGAAGGCTATAAGCAGTTTTCTTTGATATTATCAGTTGTGAAAATGAACATATGCTATTTGTATCCAATCACATCTTTATCAAAGACCTAATTGCTGAGTTGTGTGTTACATCTTTTCTTGTTTTGTTTTTTTTTTTCTCTCAGATATCTAGAGAAGTTATCAGACCTGTTTGAGAAACTCAGAGTAACTATAACCCAATTCTTCACCAAACTGAGACAACTTTTTAAATATTGGTGCTGATTTCTACATTCATTTTGGTGCCTACTGTATGTCTTTGTGTCTCTGCAGAAAGTGGAGGGAAGAGTAGCATCTGACCAGGAGCTGAAACTCACAGAGCTGCTCAGGTACTACATGAGAGACATCCAGGCCGCTAAGGTGAGACATGTTTATGTTCCGCCTTTGTACAAGATGCCTAGATTCACAGTTGTGTTGCTTGTTCATGGAGTTCACACACTGCTTTATTTCAAACACTTTGTGATCCATTCCAGCCAGAGAGAACAAAACTAAATGTAATAACCAACATACTGCATTTTTTTAATGACACATATCAGGGCTCAGTATCAATTCTCATTGTCCATTATAAGTAAATGTTAATGATTTAAGGATGGAAAATAAAGAGAAAATGTCAATTTGTAATGAGGAATATTCAGAATTGCTGTATTCAGCACAAGGACCAAGTAGGTATTTGTTCAAATGTGAATAATTGTATTTGAGGAGAATCCCTGTTATACAAAGCAGAAATGCATGAAATTTTCAATAACTACCAGATTTTGACCAGTACATCATCTGTTAAAATCTGTCTTGTGCAAGCATGAAATTAAATGTTGGAATTACTGGATTTTTAGCTCCATGGACTACTGGAGATTGTCCAAATGAATGCAAATTATTTGTAAAATGTTTTAAGTGCACTTTCATTTGAAGTATCCTGCTCATTCTTTCTCTCGCTAAACTATCTGGAATATGTGTGCTAGGACCTTTTGTACAGACGAGCTCGGGCGTTGGCTAACTATGAGAACTCTAACAAGGCTCTGGATAAGGCTCGACTGAAGAGCAAGGATGTTCCCCAAGCAGAGGAACACCAGCAGCTCTGCCTGCGGAAATTTGACAAGCTCTCAGAGTCTGGGAAGAAAGGTTTGTGCATCCATGTGCAGGGGTGTGACAATACACTTAGCTCATGAGATGAGTTGATAAACAATATTGCGTTCATGGGAACAAGATGATATTTTAACACTTTTTAAGAACTCTTCAATTATCGAATAGAAAAATAGTTTTATTTGACTGAAATTCACAAAATGCAAAACAATGCAGGTGCATTTTGAAATGTTTTAACTAATCATCTTGTAATGATTGTCACTTCAGTTCTACTTTCTGAGTATGAATTATCATTTGCAGTAGAAGACATTATGCAAGCCTTGTAAAAGATTTTTCCACAAAC